TTCTTGGCACGTTCCCTCCCCAGGGCTGCATGTGTCAGGTCATCGTGTTGGCCATTCCAGGCGTGGTTTCGCAGTGTTTAGGGTACAGCTCCATAGTTCGACGTGCGTCATTAGCAGTTATGCAGCATTCTGCAGTGTGCGTGTTCACACATCAACATGTCGTGCCACGCATTGTGTCACATGTTCACGCGGAGGATTGTGCAGCATGTTCACCTCGCCATCGTTTGCCTTGCCACCTCCTTCCCCCCTCCCCCCCCCCGGAGCCTCCAGGCGGCGAGCGTGGGCACGGGCGCCTGCGATTGGGGCAGGCGTGTCGCCAATTGCAAGTGTTGGTGAAGGCCGCCTCTTTTCTTCTGTTACGCTTTGTGCCCCATGTTCACGCGCAGGGCCAGATGTGGAGCATGTTCGCAGCGCCACTTTGCATGCCTTTGTAAACCGCCATCGGCATGGCCTGCGTTTATAGGTTGCCCGAGCATTATAGCCAGGCACCCAGCAAGTGTCCGGCGGGTGCGCGCCCCAACCCGCGGCCCCCTTGCAGCTATTGCAAGGGGTGCCAGTAGCAAGTACTTCGAAAGTACTTTTCGGACGCAGCAGGTACTTCGCGTGTACTTTTCAGGTACCGCATGTACTTCGCAGGTACTTCGCAGGTACTTCGCAGGTACTTCGCGGCAGCGCCACGTTCGCCGCAGGTTCTTCGCAGGTACCTTGCGGGTGGCGCTTTTTTCTGGTAGGTACTCAGCAGGTACTTAGCAGGTACCTCCAGAGGTGCCCCAGGATCGGCAGCTGCCTCAGCAGGCACTTAACATGTACTTGGCAGGTACTTGCCAGGTGCGCCTGCGCACTCACATTCTACCCCCCCCGCCAGCCGTGCCCCCCCTGCCATGCCTCGGCGCGCGCGGGCAGGTCGCGCTGCGCGTTCCCAGCCTATGCCGCTCGCGGCAGCAGGTATCGCTGCGCGGCGCAGCAATAGGGGCGCGCACAAGGGGGTCTATACCTGGCTAGCCCCGTCCAATTTCCAGAGGCCGCGCCGACGCTGCGGGCGATTGAACCTCCGTCGGTGCGCGTTGCCGATCCTGGTTCCACCAGTTTGGCAGGGACGTAGGGCTGCATGGCGAGCGGCGCAGCAGGTTGCGTTAAATACGGGGCGCGGCTAGGCATGTGGTTGCCCGCGACAGGGCTGCGGCGTGGGCACATTGCCAGGGATTTGTGGGGGGCTAGCGCGCGATTGTATGTGGTGGGGCAGCTGTGTTTGTTGCGTCGCAGTTTGCACGTGGCCATATCCCGGGGCCGCGGCGCGCGGGCGTGCTTTGCCGCGCACGGCGGAGCGCAGAGGACAGCGTTGTCGCATTGACGATGCTGGCGGGCCCAAGTGCATTCGACTCGGCAAGCGGAATGGCCCCGCGAAGGCTCGCATGGGTCTTGTCGACGAAGGAATTTTGTAGGTCTTCGCGCCTGGATGCGTTGCAAACAGGCTGGTTCGTTTGCGTATGATTGGTGGGTGTTGCAGGGGAGGTGGCACGCTGGTGGGATGTTTCCAGACTCACGCCAGAGGCTTTCGGTTGGATCGTTCGCGAGTCTAGGTAGTTTGCCCAGAAGGGTTCTGCTATGCGTGCGTCCGAGAGTAAGTTGGAACAAAGGCGAGCAGCTCGACGGACAGCGAGCACTGTTGTATTTCAGGTGGGTGTTCATCATGTAGGTGCAATCGCCTTAGCTTCAAACTTAGCCCGAACCCTGGCCTTAGCCGTGGCCCGAGCCTTAGCCCTGGCCCTAGCCTTAGCGTAGCCCTAACCCTTACCTGGGCCCTAGCCCTTGCCTTAGCCTTGGGCCTGGCCAAAGCCTTCACCTCAGCCCTGGCCCTAGCACTAGCCGTAGCCGATGGCTCTAACGCTAGCCTCAGCCCTAGCCTTGGCCACAACCTTAGCCTTAGCCGTGGCCCCTGGCTCCCCATAGCCATTGTCCTAGCCCTAGCCTTAGCCTTAGCGTTAACTGTTGCCCGAGCCCCCGCCCCCACCCGAACCATTGCTTCTGCTTAAGCTTAATGTCTTGCCCTGATATCTTGATGCGGCCCGCATTTATTCCAACCCAGCCAGATTGGTTTCCAACCGGAGCACGGGGCCGCCACCGTTGCCCTGCAGCCGTGGTTTTTCTGGAGCTACTTACCTGGCAACATTTAACGTATGAGCGTGTTTCCGCCAAGTGATTCCATATGCCTTATGCTTCCTCCGTGGGGCTCGACGATTTGATTCGCGCGCGCTAAGTCAACAATGGAGCGCCTCGGGTCCTCTGGCGTCTTGGGCTTCGCAACTTTGGGGGATTTATTGGTGTCTGGGGGCATTGCGGCGTCTTGGGTGTCTTGGGGGTTCAGCGTCTGAGGGTGCCTGGGGGCTTTAGGCGCTTGGGGATGTCTGGAGGCATTGGGCGTTTGTGGTGTATTTGCACGTTCGGTGGTTGTGTTTCGTTTATGGTGCACTGCATGCGTGGGAACACGCGAAGGAATTGGAACACGGTTTATGCAACCATCCATCACCATCGTTGTTAATCATGGTTTTTCGTAGTCGCAGCCGCGTTTGCCACGCAATTGCGTAGTCTGGTTTTGTTACCTCCCCGGCATGGGGGGCCGCACAATTGACCCTTTCGAAACGAGTGGCCGCCTCCAACTAACGCTTCGGTTGCCAAGCATGCCACAAACATGGCTTCGTACCTGCGCTGGCAACTTGCCATGTACAGTGCACCTGAGAGGGGCGCACGAGGTTCCACCAGAGGAGGTTGAGCAGCAGCACGCTCGCGACTTGAATTCGGCAATGCCGAACGTTTGGTCAGCCGATCCAACGCCAGTGCCAGCGGCAGTGCCGACGCCAGCGCCAGCCAGCGGCAGTGTCGGTGCTGCAGGAGTCCCCGAGGGTGGTGATGAAGAGGCCGTCGTGATGAGCCAGTGGAAACTAGGCGTCAGTCCCCCCTCCGAGATGAGTGAAGTGAGTGACGGTGTTGTTGCTGCCACACAGGGCTCTCCCAGCGAGGTCAAGGGGCCAGGCGAAAAGGGGCCTGGCGGAGCGGCATGCTCAGCGAAGGCCAGCTATGTTTCGCAGCCTGGGGGGCCTCAGCCTCCGAGTGCCTGGCTCCCCAAATTCCAGTCTATTTTGAAGCTTGGCCAGCTGATTGACATCGGCAGCCCTGGGGACTCTCCCAAGGCCAATGAGTCGAAGTCTCCCTCTCCTTCTCGTGTGGCAATTCCGAAGGAATGCGTCAGTGCCAAGCGGCTGGCGTCAGCCGACGGCGCCGAGTCGATTGCGCCAGGGGGCGCTTCCGAGGTTCCTTCTGCGAAGAGGCGCAATTGGCCTTTCAACCCTGAATTTTGCAGCGGTGCGCCTGGTGCCGCCTCTTCAGGGTCTGCCGCCTTGCAAGGGTCTGACCTTGCCTCAGCGTGCCAGGCTCCTCTTGATGAGGGCATGGGCCCATGTGCGATGCATGGCCATCGCCTCGTACATGCGCCCACTGTGGTGGAAGAGTTCGCATCGTCGGATACTGTTGTGGAGACGCAAGTGTATCATGGCAGGAAGTGCTAGGTGGCTCCAACATGTAAGCCTACATATGGGGGGGGAGGAGTAAGATGGAGGAGGGACGATGTCCTCATTCCGGAACAGAAGGGCTGTCTTCGTTCCAGAACAGGAGGATGCCACGGGGAGGGAGGTGAAGGCGCTGTGCTCTCTGACCCTGCTGCCACCTTTAGCCAGTCACACTTTCAGTTTGATATGGTGTGAATTCTCGTGCGGGCTTCAGGCGTGAGGACGCCCGAAGCCCGCGTCGGGCGTGAGGATTCCCTTGGTCTCGATCTCGTTCGAGGCACGTTGCGCTCAATCTCAGATCGTTTCGCCGCTTCTGATCGGTGGAAATGAACGAGGCTCACCCTCGAGGCCATCCTTTGGGTCTAAAGAAGTCTCCATGGGGTCTCAACGGGTACCCTCGAAGCCACCATCCTTGGGGCCTAACGGCTTTCTCTGCGTGTGCGGTGTCTTGGGACCTTGTGCGTCTTAGGATGTCTTGGGATATTAGGGTGTCTAGGGGCCTGAGGCGTCTGTGGTGTCCAGGGGCCTTAGGGCTCTTGGGGTGTCTAGGGATATCAGGTCGTGTTAGGGCGTCTTAGGCTGTCTTAGGATGTCTTAGTGCGCGTAGGGGTCTGGGGAGGCGTCTTCGAGGCCTTAGGGAACTACACTTTAAGGGTGTCTGAGGGTCTTGCGCGTCTTACCGTCTGGTAGCCATGCAAGCAAGGGAACCCTGCAGATACATGGCCTTGTGGTAAGAGTGTCAAACACATAACGGTCGCCTATTTGCATGCGTGCACACATGAAACTCCGATTGATGTGCCATTCAGTCCTGACGTACACTTGCGCATCTAGTATCATTGAGGCCACATGGGGCCCAAGGGCCAACGCATTCCCTGCAACTAAATAAACGCTGGGGCTCCATAGGCAACAACACAAGGTTTGCATATGAGGCACCCCTTGGATTTCACATTGGGGGGGGGGGGGGCTCGGTTGGACTGCTCACACTGATCATCTTACCGACCTCTTTTTGCATTCGGGCGGTCGTGCCCTGAGCATATTGATTACGTACGGCCTGGATTGGTATCGTTTTGCAGAATGCTTCGCTCTTCGGGGCGTGATGTTATCTAGCGGGCGAGAGGCCCTTCCCATTCCAAATGATTGTGCAAATGCGGTGTGACCCACACCCTCCGCTCATTGACATTCGGGCTCTAGCCAAATGCAGCTGCGGGTTGCACGGACCACCAAGTTTTTTTTTACTCCAGCCAGGCGCTCAGGGCTTCGCGCAGAATGCCCGACAAGAGATCCCGCAAGAGGGGCGATGATACCCAGGAGAAGGCGTCTCGTGGTGCCAGGAAGGCGCCGCGCCTGTCCGCAGGTGCCCTCTCTCGGCGCAACGGCGAGAACGAGGGGTCTGCTGCTGCAGGCTCGACTGCTCGTGGGGCCTCCGCCCGTGACAAGGCTTCAGGCCCATGTTGCTATGATTGTGGCGCTACACCCTCGGCTGCGTCGAAGTTTCCAGCTGGGGTGACCGACGCTTGCGCGTTCCACTGGGAGCTCTACCTTTCTGGCTTCACGACCTACGGCAGCTGGCGGGAGTTCAATGCGAAGAAGGACAAGGACACGGCGATCCAAGAGGCGTGGACCAGCGCAGAGGAGACCAAGACAAGCGGCGAAAAAAACTGGCTGCCCACGCAGGTCTTGCAGAGCAAGATCTACAAGTGCACAGTGACGAAGAGCATGGCAGGCCCGAGTCGGGCTCAGCTGAAAGATCTACTGTCTGTTCGCCAGAGCGCATAGGCGTCAAGATGCAGGATCTCGTGGACGTCAACAACGCCCTGTACAAAGGGTTGCTGATCCCGAACCCAGCGAGGCCGTTCACGGAGTTCAACTTCACCAAGACAATCGGCGTCGAGAGGTCTACAGTCGTCATGGGCAGCGCCGACCAGATGTACGAGCAGCATGCGGACGTCGTCTTCGATTTCGCCAAGGCCGAGATGCATAAGGCAAAGGATGTCAAGGATGCTGCAGTCAAGATGAGGGCAACGCCATGGGACCTCGCAGACCTGGTCAAGAAGTCTTGCGAGTATCGCGGGGTCGACGTGCACCCCATGAACTGCAGCCCCATGGCAGCGGTGCTCATGGGCCAGTTTGGCAACGTGGACGAGGATGCCGCCCGCGCCTTTGGCCCACCACCTCGCCGCGAGCCGCGTGAGGACGTTGCCAATCTTGCCGACGTGGCCGACCACGAGGCTGGTGAGGGGCAGCTCGACGAGGGCGCGGCTGCAGATGCGGAGGGGGCAGGTAAGACTGCCCGCGCGCCCTACCTCCATCGCCGTGCGGTCTTGGATCGCATGTCGTCGGTTGGCCTGGCTCCTGCTGTGAAGAGGCGCGGCTCTGGTGCTTCCCGAGTTGGTGGGGATGCTGCGAGCGCCATCTCTCCGAGCGCGGCAGGCTGCGTCGGCAAAGGCAGCGGGGGCAAGCGGGTGCCCATGGAGGACGGCTTGTCGATCACAGATGCAGCTCGAGATGACCTCGTGCAGCGGAGGATCAACGCCTACGACATCGATAAGATCATGAGGAACGAGAACATGGGCCGTGAGAGGCTGTGGTGTAGCGACTCCCGAGATCTCTTCTTGCGCAAGGGCGACGCCAGGGCCGATGCCCTGTCCAAGCACCTGGACCTCGCGAAGCACGCCGAGAACCTGGTCAGCAGCTCCATTTCAGAGATGGGCGCTGGCATGCTCGAGACCGCTGTGAAGGAGCTTCAAGACGGTGGGTTTTCATTCCAAACAATATGAAGTTCCAGCTTTGGCGCAGGTGTTGCGACGACAAACTGGGGGGCGCCCTGAAGTCCCGCGACGCAAACACGACGTTCATCCAGGCCATCGTGCCGTGGAGCGGGACCGAGAAGACGTTCGATGGGAACAATCCGCGTCTCGGCCTCCTAGAGTGCTCGAACGAGGGGAAGATCCACAATTTCGAGATGATGTAGGAGAAGCTTTTGTCTAGCGTCGTGAAGCTGGGCGAGTCTGGGAAGGAGGCCGTGCACACCATCGCGGACGCGAGCCTAAAGTATTGCGCCATGATCGTGGATCGGGAGGACTGCGAGGACTTCGACACAACGGTGACCGACCTGGAGCTGTCCGTGAAGGGCCTGAAGGCGTTGGTGGATCCCTTTTTTTCGTGGGCGGGCATCCTGAGCTGATTCGCATGTTTTCCATCGGCGCCGGCAAGGACAAAGGAGACAATAAGCGCGTGCCATACAAGGTGTACCAATCTCTGATGTTCATGCCTTACTACGACGGGCTACTGAAGGAGTTCGGCGCGAAACACGATTTCACCAAGGAGTTTCTTGCCAACCTCCCTGCGCAGGAGGCGGAGCTTCGCAAGGACGCAGCTTCCGCTGGGAGGAGTGGTCTTATTGCAAGTATGCTGACGCTGATGGAGCAAACGAGCACCAAATGCAGGGCAGGGACATTCGAGCACCTAGCCGAGCTGTTGACTGAGTCGCTCGAGGGCTTCATTCGTTCCCTGAGCATCGCGAACCCGAGCACCGCCGACAAAGATGCCTACAAGAAGTTGGTGCTGGCAGAACAATGTCTCAAGCAGGCGTGCACCGTCCTGCCCGCCAATGTGGAGACCTGGATGGCGCACCTCAGGACTTGCGAAGTAGCCATGGCCGCGGTTGGCAAGGCTGACTACGCGAAGAACCTGACCACCGTGCTCGAGCAGTACAGGACCTTGCAGCCGAAGTCGGTGAACATGGAAGCCGTGGTAGATGTCGACTGCGCCGTGAAGGATGCCAGCTCTGCGGGCGTGGAGCTCGACGAGGAGTCCTTGCAGCAGCTCTTGGAGTTCATTCAGGCTGACAGAGGGTGAGTCAAATGCTGCAGATGGGGGAGGGTGGATAGGCATGGTGGGCTAGGTAAGGCGGACGGGAGGGACAGGAGTTGGTCCGTGGGCCCGAAGAAATGCAGCATTTGTCTTGCCGAGATTGTGTTCGACTTCGCTGAGCATGCTCTTGGTGAGACTCGATCTAGCCTCGGTCCGATCCTTCAGCTGGCCATGTCGGTGCGTGATCTGGTTTCAGCGACTGTTGACGTAACATTGAAGGATTCAGTCACCAAGTTCGTCGAGTGCATAGCTGCGTGGACTGATACATCCAAGAGCTTGGCAAAGTTCGAGTCGCTTGGCCCGATTTAGCTGCGAGGATTTCTGCGAAGGATTCGGCCATCGCCATCAAAGCGTTGCTGAACGACACGGCTCTACTTCTTCAGAAGGTCGGTGAGAGGCCGCCGTGCCCGGGGATGAGTGGCTTCATCAGCCAGATGGAAGATATGAGTGCTAATATTCGGGATGCGTACTTGCAGAGGACGCGTGATGCCATGGTGACCGCAACAGACAAGCTCAATTGCCTCGCGAACCTAGGGCCAACTGAGGGAACTTCTTGGTCTGCCGACGTCCCTGCCGACAAGGGCGACGACTTCGCCACGGTCAGGGAGGTGTTCCTGACAGCGGTTGCCGAGCTCGACGGCAACAGCTTCACTGCAATGATCAAGGATCCAGAGACGTCTCAGAAGCAGGTGGCCGCCGCCCACGAGCTCTTCGGGTGTCCTGCTGAGGCCGCCATCTTCGAATCCAGTGACAATGTGGTGAGAACGAGCTGTGTCACCAGGGCGACGGCAAAGTGCCTCCACGCCTACGAGATGCACCAGAAGGACGAGAACGATGCCAAGTTGCGCAGGGAGCTCCGCAAGACGCTGCAGACGATCACGGAGCACCCGAGGCTGGGCGACATTTCTTCCGAGATGCAGGTGTCGTTGCGGAAGTGGGCGTTCGCCGCCGCCCAGTTGCCTTGAGAGGCGCGGGCCGCAGGTCCGCTGCGGCGACCGCCTGCAGGTGGCGACGCGGCTGCTGACAAACATTGGGAACGAGTCCCACGAGAGGCAGCCAGGGGGAGACAAAAGAGCACTGGCTGCCTCTCGTGGAACGCTTGAGCCTTTCAGTGGGCCTTCTGAGGGGCATCTAGGGTATAGCTTTGGGAGGTCATCTTGGGTCGTCTTCGGTACATCTGGAGCCGTTTTGGAGAGATCTTGCGGCCAGCTTGGCGTCTCTCGGGCTCTGCGTGCCGCCTTGGAAGCCATCTTGGGCACGCAAGCCGGTTCGTTGGCCTTCCCAGGGCAAGGTTGGGAGCGTATGGGCCGTCGTGGGCCCGTCTCTGGGCCTTCTTGACATGTTTTTGGTGGCTGTATACTCACAGTCGCAGTAGGTAGATTGCATAACGTTGCCTGGTGTCTTGCGTTGCGTGCTGCGTTGCGTGCGTCATGTAACTGCTAATCACAAGTCGGGCGGCTACTTTTACGATATCTACGTTCTTACCCACTCCCTCTGCCCAAAACGGCTGGTACTTTTTCAATCTTCACTGCTAGTGGCCCTCGCGGCGCCGATATCAAACAAGTACATTGCACATACTTCGTATCATACCTCGGCTTATATGTAACAGGTATCTAGGTGCATTTTTCATTACCAGCGTTTTAGAGGGGCATGCATCTCATAACGGGATACCGTGGGACACCTCTCGATCGCACTGTCGATCTCACTATCGATCTCACTATCTATCTCACTCAACGGGACACCACGGGACGTCACGGGACACCACTATCGATCTCACTATCGATCTCATTCAACCGGACACCACGGGCCACCACGGGCCACCACGGGACACCACATCGATTTCAGTTCAGTATCGATCTCACTATCGCTCTTACTCTTTGGGGCACCACGGGACACCTCGGGGCACCACATCGATCTCACTATCGATCCCACTATCGATCTCACGATCGATCTCACTCAACGAACACCATGGGACACGTGTCGATTTCACTATCGATCTCACTATCGCTTTTACTTCTTGGGACACCACGGGACACCACGGGTCACCACATCGATCTCAGTATCGATCTCAGTATCGATCTCACTATCGTTGTCACTATCGATCTCACTATCGATCCCAGTATCGATCTCACTCAACGGGACACCACGGGACACCGCGGGCCACCACGGGACACCACGGGACACCACGGGACACCGCGGGACACCGCGAGCCACCGCCGGACGGACGGACGGACGGGCGGGGGAGAATCATTTGTCTTGACTTCGCCCTAGCAACGGCGGACACCACGAGACACCACGGGACACCACGGGACACCACGGGACACCGCGGGACACCGCGAGCCACCCCCGGACGGACGGACGGGCGGGCGGGGGAGAATCATTTGTCTTGACTTCGCCCTAGCAGCGGCGGGTTCATTCGTCTCGCGCGCCCACGCAGCTTCGCCTTGTTCGCACGCGCGACACGAACGGAACGAAACGGTTTTCCGTTTGGGGGTCGCCGTTCCATTGCGATCTCACCCGCCAATTTCCGGTATACATATATATATATATATATATATGTACACATACATTTGTTGATGTGTATATACAAATCTGAATTTGCACGTCAATGTGTACGTACACAACTCGATTCTCCTGACGCTGATCTTCCGTTGCGTTCTGCGTTAGAGCTGTTCGATTTTGCAGCCTTTGGCTTGTACATCGTACGAGTTCGGTGCTTTCCTCCCCCTCCCCCTCCCCCTCCCCAGAAGTCGAACACTCGTGCGACCAGTGAGTGCTTCCCTCCAGCAGCCCCTGCCGCTTCGAGCAAGCCCTCAGGAGGCCCGGCCATCCGCATGGCGACCAGACGGTTCTCGCTCGCTCGCCCTCATTCGATCCTTCCGCCCCCTTCGCCTCCGCAGAAAGCATCTATACACCAGCATTCCTGGCCTGGGCCATCCTGTGCCTGCCCCAGGACAGTGTGCAGGCCCTCCTGGCTTGGCCAAGGAGGTCTACGCAGCGATCCTGGGCCCAGGATCGGCCAGGCCAGGATTGATGAGGTGGATCGTCCCCCGACGGAGGCACCTCCTTCGATCTTCCCCCCCCCTCCCCCCCCTGGGCCCCCCCCCCCAGGGCACCTGGCTACAGCTGCCTGTCGGCCGCGTGGCAAGGCGGCGGCTCCGTCGCGCGTGCCGCCCAGCCGTCCACCACTTCCAGCCGTGCCCCTGAGGAAGGAGGTACGGGGGCGGGAAGTATGGATGGGTGGATGGGCGTTTGTAGGCATGGAGGGATGCAGGCATTGAGGGGCAAAGGTACGTACGGAGTTAATCATCGAGACTGGAGGTGTGGCGACATGTGAAAGATGTATTTCCACCGATCTATGTATGTACGTTAACCTTCGTGGGCCCCAATCAGTGAGTTAGTGCACGGTGAAAGGCAAACACTGCGGTGTAAGCTATGCGGTGTGAGTTACGTGGTAGAAGCTATGCAGTGTAAGCTAGGCGGGGTGAGCTGAGCGGTGCAAGCTATGTTCTGTAAGCCAAGTGGTGTGAGCCATGCAGTGTGAGCTATGCTGTCCAAGCTATGTTGTGTAAGCTATGTAGTACAATATATGGAGTTTAGGCCATGCTGTGTGAGCTATGTGGTGTAAGCGGTGTAAACTATGCGATGTAAGCTATGCTGAGTAAGCTATGCTGTGTGACACGCCCTGCAGAAGGAATCTTCCCAAACATAATCCAACTAATCGTTTGGGTACGTTTTTGTTTGTTTGTTTGTTTGTTTGTTTGTTTGAATATTTTTTCAAAGTCATTTTGGAAGTTTTTTTTTTTTTTTTTTTTTTTTTTTTTTTCTCCTCCGAACTCTGCCTGTAGGGGACATGCCCGACCTAAGATTAGGGGCCCGACAGCCCCAGCCTGCCCCAGAGCCCGCGGCTCTGCCGTCGGGTGCCTCGGGCCAACCCGGCCTCGCTGTTTCCCCCTCGAGCTGCCTCCCCCCCCCCCCCGCAGTGGCCCCTCACCTGTCTGCCGGCGGAGGCGTCGACCTGGCCACCTCGTGCCGGGGGTGGAGCCCCTCGACCTCGGCAGGGCCTGGGGCGGCCCGCGGGGGCCCGAGCACCCCCTCGGGTCTTCCCCGTCCTCGCCTCTCCGAGAGCCGCTGGCGTCGAGCAGTTCCCCCTCCCCTCGCGCGCCATCATCCGTGTCCCAGGTCGTTCGTATCTCGTCTTCGTGCCACGGTAATCTTGTCCTGGTGCCATGACCTTGCCTGGAATGGTTGGGTCATTTCTATACCGCATCGTGATGGGGATAGATAGCTGTAATTGTTTTGTCCTCGAGTCCCAGTCTGTTCGTTCGTTCGGTCGTCCGTCCGTGCGTTCGTTCGACTCTGTTCGCCCGTTCGGTTCGGTTCGCTGGTCCGTTTCGTTCGGTTCGGTCGCTTCGTTTTTTTTTTTTTTTTTTTTTTTTTTTTTTTTTTTTTTTTTTTTTTTTTTTTTTTTTTTTTTTTTTTTTTTTTTTTTTTTTTTTTTGTTTTTTTTTTTTTTCCGGATCGTTCGTTCGGTTGTTGGTTCGGTTCGGATCGTTCGGCTCGCTGGAATGAACGGAGCGGCGCTTATAATCTGTCACGGTCGCTTGTTCGGATCGTTCGTTCGGTTGCTAGTTCGGTTCGGTTCGTTCGGCATGCTGGAACGAGCGGAGGGGCGCTTATACTCTGTGTCAGAGCAGCGAGGTGCCAGTCGGGACCTCCGTGCCCAGGCGTCCAAAGACGAGTTATTTTCAGCCCGAGACCCCCAGAGGCCTCGACCCCTTCCCCAGTCAGGGGCAACAGTAGGGGGGGGGACAGGCTCAGGGGAGCGATGCATCGACAGGGGAAGAACTCATCGACCCCCAACAGCCCATTCATCGCCCATAGGGGCCTGATAGCCCACCCCTCCCAGGATCGTGCGATGTATCGGCGCTCTATCGGTGGTATGTTAACGATCTCTCGGCGATGTATCGCCGATTCAAACTCGATGTTTCCTTCCCTGAGCTGGTGCCCCCTATCGTTCCCCCCACCTTGCACAGGTACAGCTTTTCGTCACGGACTCGTCTCTGTGATGGCCCAGTTGCTTCGCAACGGCCACTGGATGCCGAAGCTGAGGACGCCGCTGCTAAAGAAGTCAATCCGCTGGCTGTCTGGCCTCCTCAGTATCGTTTGACCGACCCCCATCCTCATCCCCATCCCCTTCGGAGACCCCCACCAATTTACCCACCCAGTTGGGGATGCACCCCTCGAAACCCGAAGGGAACGGCCTATATCCCCCTCTAGGTAGGTAAATCGGCCAGTGGGGCCCAGGCCACGCCCGTGGGGATAGGGATCGGATAAATGATGCTCACCTCCTTCTTCTCCTCATCCTTTGAGCACCCCCCCTGGGCTTGACCAGGGGGCGCGTTCCGATCAGAACTTCAAAGGCGGATGCAGCTGCAGCGACGAGATGCCCTTGGGATCCACTCCGTAGCCATTTTGGCTCAAGCCGCATGGCTACGCGGGTCTCCATTCCTGCAGGTTGCTCTGCAGGCTTCGAGTGCAGCCGCGAAGGAGCAGTCGAAGCAGTATCTCCTGATGGACATCTGAAGGCAGCTGGTGTTTGCGCTCGGGATGGCTGGCGCCTTTTGGCAATCAACGGCGAACCAGTTGAGGAAGCCACATTCCGCGATGCTCTACAAAACGCGCGCAGGAGTGGAAAGGACTACGAGCTCACTTTTGTACAGCCAGTGTCTCAGCCACTGCTTGGTACAGGAATTCCACTTCTGGGATGCCAGGCTGGCGTTCCACACTTGTACGTGTTGCCCGCTCTTCGTGAGTCGTGCGGAACGGTCCTGTTGCTGCATGGCTCAGGGCCAACCGATTGGCTAGGCAACCAAGATCCAACAGGCACGCCGACAGAAGGTGGTGTCACTGAGATGGCTTTCGAATTCAGAGAGCAGGGTTTTACATCAGTGGTGTTGGATTCTTACGCTGCAGGCAGGCGACAGGGTAAAGACTTCAAAACCAGCATGCGAGTCGATGACATCATGGCAGCCTTGCAGTACGTAAGAGATGCTGGTTTGCCCGGGCCTATCCACATCTATGGTAAGTCGAATGGTGGCTACTCTGTGGCCATGTTCTTGCAGCTACCTGTGAGCAAAGCTGAGGCAAGCCGAAAGGACAAAGCAAAAGAGCTGGCAGAGAGCCTTGCAAGTGTGATCATCCAGTGCCCATACCTCAGCCAAGAAAGAGATGTTGAGAGGCTACGCAGGGTTGCGGAGGAGAGTGAGGTGAATCTACCCAATGTGTTGTTTTTGCTTGCAGCAGAAGATAGAATGCTCACCGACCACAAGCAGCCGATGAACGTTGGAGTGCAGGCTGCGGAAGCAATGGCTGGACAACTGGTCACAAAATGGCAGGAGCCTGTCATGAAGGGTCGTGAGCTTCTGTCGAATTGCAGCATTCAGCAAGGTGGAGGATCTGCAATGGGTCGGCCGTTTGTCGAGGTCCGTATGTACAGTGATATTGGACATACATTTGTTGCAGACGCAGAAGGTCAAGCCATTTCTGATGGTTCCTGCACCCCGGTGGTGCAGCATGCATTGCGTGCAACGGTTTCGTGGATGTCGTGGCAAACCCCTAAGCCAGGCGTGACTGCATGAGTCATAATTGGTCTTCCTGTCTCACCCACCATTCGAAGCCAACAGCTAGATGCTGTATAGTACATGCTGCATCGTCAGTATTATTTCGGTCATGCTCTAAAATGTGTTCCGTGTGTGCATGAGAGTGGCAACAGTCCAGTCTGACACTTTACAGTTCCCTGCGCGGCCGACATGCTTTACTTTCGTCGGGTTCGTACAATTGCCCACGATGGCAATCAGTGCGTGTGCATGTGTTCCTGCTAATACCAGATTTCGATACTGCACGCAGGGCCCCAGCTCAGCTCCCCCCCCCCGAAAAACGCATACGCGCGGAAAGAACCCGATGACAGCTCAACATAGCACCCAGGACAGGACAGCCAGGGTGCTTTTTATACCACGTCTGCAGAAATCAGCTAGGAGCGTCCCGGATCGGCAGCACAGGCCGAACGCTAGGACAATACTGGTAGACCACCTTCGCCCAAAGGGCTGGTGGGACTGGGCATTTTTCAGAAGGCTTGGGGCTTGCACTCAAGACCTGGTCTCAAAGGCATGATTCTTTGGTTGCTGACCCAGAGTGAGAGGCGTGCGATCTCACTCGAGATAGTGCACGATTTGGGCTCCTCTGGTCGTCCTGCCTCATCACAAACATCTGCATCCTGTCCGCTCATGAGGTGTCACCAGCTCAGATGGGCTGGATCACTACAGTGTGTTGCTACATTTCTTGTTTGTGGCCGCGGTGAGAGAAAAAAAAGCCCTTGGGACCCATTCCTGATGGCCCCAGGGCCCGAAGACCGCACCCCCTGGAGGCCGCGACAAGGGAAGACCGCCGCGTTTCAACAGCAAAAGCAATCCGCCTGTTCCGCTGCAGGTGAGTCCCAAGGGAGGGTCGATTTCGATCAGATCGGTCTGATTCGACATCGGTTGCGGCCAGCCTTGTCCGATTCGAATCCGGCGTTCCGACGATCCGATGCGGCTGGTTGCCTGAGTGGCGCTGTTCTACACAGCTGATGTGTTTAGTTTCTGACATTCTGCGCCAGTGCGGACCGATCCGACGCACGTTCCGATCCGATCCGATCTCCCGATTCGATGCCTGCAGCCTCCTTCCCCGCGTCCAGCTATGGCGACGAGGAGGTCCCAGAAAGCTCAGGAGGCGGATGAGGATGAGGACGAGGACGAGGATGATGATGATGAAGATGATGATGATGATGATGATGATGACGATGATGATGATGATGATGATGATGATGATGATGATGATGATGATGATGATGCTGATGATGATGATGCTGCTGATGATGATGCTGGTGCTGCTGCTGATTCTGATGATGGTGATGATGCTGATGAGAATGAGGAGTTGCTGATGCTGATGATGATGCTTGTGCTGGTGCTGATGATGATGCTGCTGATGATGATGATGCTGCTGATGCTGATGATGAATCCGATGCTGATAAAGCTGATGATGCTGCTGCTGATGATAATTCTGATGATGCTGCTGATGATTATGCTGCTGCTGATGGTGATGAGGATGAGGATGAGGATGAGGGAGAGGATGATGACGATAATGATGATACTGATGACGCTGATGGTGATGATGGTGATGATGATGATGATGATGATGATGATGATGATGGTGATGCTGCGGCTGCTGCTGATGATGATGACGATGATGAAGATGATGCTGATGACGATGCTGAGGACGATGATGATGCTTATGATGATTCTGATGAAGATGCTGCTAATATGCAGATGCTGATGCTGATGATGTTGATGCTTATGATGCTTGTCATGCTGATGACGATGATGACGATGACGATGATGATGATGATGATGATGATGCTGATGATGATGATGATGATGATGATGATGATGATGATGTTGATGATGCTGCTGATGATGATGAGGATGATGATGCTGCTGCTGATGGTGATGCTGATGATGACCATGATGATGATGATGCTGATGCTGATGCTGCTGATGATGATGATGACGATGATGATGATGATGATGATGATGATGATGATGATGATGACGATTATCATGTTCATGATGAATATGATGATGCTGACGATGATGATGATGCTGATGATGATGATGATGATGATGATGATGATGATGATGATGATGATGATGATGCTGACGATTATGTTGATTATGCTGCTGCTGCTGATGCTGCTGCTGATGCTGCTGCTGCTGCTGCTGATGATGATGATGATGATGATGATGGTGATGATGCTGATCATGATGATGCTGTTGATGATTTATGTGCTCTTGGTCTATCGTATTGCACGGGAGTGTGGTGAGGAATGTTTGAGGGAGGTTGACGGCTTCTTCCGTAGCTGTCTGGGCTCAAGCGAGCCCAAAACGGCTGGGGCTGCGCGTCCCCTCCCGCGGAGCACCGCGCGCAGACGCCCGCGGCTGGCCATACCGCCTTGTGGTGGGGGCCTCGCTGCGAACGCAGAGGGGGCGCGCCGCCCGGCTAGGCCCCGAATTCCTGGGGTCCGCCTCTCGCGGCGTAGGTTGCTATGGGCAAGGTGCGGGGGATTCCCGCCCGCCCGAGGGGCGGGTCGAGACCGTCCGCGGAGTGGACATGATCAAGAAGGACCGTCCCGCCTCGGTGTCTCCACCCGCCACCGGCGGTGCGCTCAAGAGGCCAGCTCACCCAGTGTCGAGGGCGGCGAGGTCAGGGCCAAGAAGAAACGTTGGAACACGAGGAACAGCAAGCCTCCAGGTGCCTCCAGGTAATGTACCCGTGCTCGTCGATGACGAGGAGCCGCCTCCGCGCCCGAAGCCTGTGGGCAAGGCTGCCGCCGCCCTGGCCAGAGCGCAGACGGAGCCCCAGGTAAGGCGCCCTTAGCCGTGGAAGACGAGCGACCAGAGCGACTAGTAGACTCCTCTTATGGCCGTGCGTGACGGTGAGGTGGTCGAGTGCAGGGGTGAGCGCCAGGGCTCCGCAAAGCAAGTCGCCATGTCTGCGAGGGGCGGGTCGTTCACCGTCAACGGGCGGAACGGCTGCTTCCTGGAGGGCGAGTTCGTGGACGTGGTGACAGGGGTCAGGAGCAACCACCCTGTCTGCTCTGCTTCGTTGCCCTGGCGGAGACGGCCTGGTGCATTTCTGCGAGGGGGCCGCGGGCGATTGCGCGGTGAAGACCCCTGGCTGCGGCCCGATCCCGACGCACCTCGAGCGCCGCCCCAGCTTCCGATCGAGGGGCCCCCGACACCAGCGGGAAGCGAGCGGGGCGAGGCCCCGAAGAGCGATCCTGCAGGGAGAGCGGCTATCATCGGTAGCGACGAGGATCACCCCGACGTCCCCAAGGAAGGCGGTGCTGCTTCTTCTCGCAGGCCTGATCTTGGCAAGCGCTTAGCGGAGCTGCGAGCGAAGCTCAAGCCCGATGGGCCGACGAGCCAGAGAGATGCCCGTGGCGCTGCCACGTCGGCGGGGGTCGGCGAGATCTTGGCGGAACGGGCTGTGCAACGTAGAGCCAGGGTCCTAGCCAACCCGCCTGAGGAGGACCGCCTTCCGAGGCCTGGCGTGGGACTGAGTGCTGCCGTGGGCGGGGATCGGGGTAGTGACGAGAAGAGAGCGACGTGTCGAGTTTGCGTCTGGCTCTCCCACCTTCCCGAGGGCCCTCATGTCCTGCCCCAGCTCCCTCAACTGCTCGGGGAAACGGGCTGCGCGAATCACTGTGGTGAGATACGTCACGAATCGGGCTTCCGGCGGGATTGGCCCCGCGGCCGCGGCCCCCCTCGGATGTTCAGATAGCGTTCGACCACCTCGATCGCCAACTGCAGAAGCTTCCCCGGGTGTCGGCGCGCGAAGGACACCCGTCCTTCGCCCGCGCGAGCTCGATGCCGTGCTCCTCGGCGATCTCCCCCGAGTAGCAGACGCGTGCGTGCAGAGGTTCAAGAGCTGCGACGCCAAAGCCAAGGGGGACAGCCAGGACCTGGTGGCACAGTGCGAGCTTCCAGGCGAGCGATCGGTCTCGCAGCCCCGTCGGAGGAGATGCTCGTCGCTCAGCTGGAGATGCAGTGGGCCGAGCTCGCGGATATCGAGAGAAGCCCCAGCGGGGAATCGGGGGCCTCGGGCGGGGGGCCGCCCGGCCCGAGGTGACCCGTCAGACGGGCGCGGCGACGGGGCTGGCGGCGAGGGCCTCGGGGGGGCGGTCCGCCAGCCCGAGCGGATTCAGAGCCAACTGGGGCCGCGGCCCGTCGGGGCCCACAGACGATGGGGAAGCCGCGGCAGGCGAGCGGGGCAAGGATGAAGCCCAAGAAAAGTCAGCGGAGGAGGAAAGTCACTCTCCCGACGGCGAAGGCCTCGGCGAAGCCGAAAGCGCGGGGGCCCCGCCAAACGGACCAGCCAGGCCAAGGCAGGGGCGCCTCGACCTCGGCGCCGCTCCCTCCGCCCCAGGCCCAGCCCGGGGTAGTGCCGCTCGCGCCGAGGACTGGGGCTCAGGCCGAAGCAGGCGCGGCGTCGGGCGACAGGTCGGGTACGCAGAGGCACGACGTGCAGCGGCCGCGACCTCCCTGGCGCCTGAGCTTCGGAAGTGGCGGCTACATGCGACGGGCCTCCAGAATAGCCGGGGCAGGCGATGCTCGCGGCAGCCCCGACCATTGCAGAGGTTAGATTCGAGCCTGGCGCGAGGATGCAGGGCGAGTCTCTGATGAACCCTCATAACCTCGATGCGAATATCGCCAGGATGGGCCTCCAGGCGCTGCGGCCCCTGCTGCGCGCAGACGCGCGGATGGGCAGGCGGGCGAGGCAGGCGTTCAACGTGGTGCGCCGCGCGGTCGAGAATGCCGCGCGGAGGCGGGACGTCCTGCCCCTGCCTTTGCCGAGCGCGGGTGAGCACTTCGAGGTTTTGTTCCGGCATCTGAGCGATCCTTGGTGCGCGATGTTGTATCGTGGCGACAAGTGGCGCTCCTTCCGCTGGATTGTTGGCGTCGGGGCCTGAGCGTGCTTGCAGGTGTTGCTCGCGAACTCCCTGCGCGGGGATCGCTACTTCATCGCTGGCGGGTGCCTGTCC